AAAAATTGGATTTGTAATTGTTTTACATGCTTTACCCCAGACTTCAATACAGTAAATTAAATGTGGAACAATAATGGCATTATACAATAGAAACATTGCTTTATCATTGAATAACTCTAACTTTGTACATTACTGCAATCGATTTAGCTATTTTAGTTCTTAAGTTTTTTACGTGAGATCTCCATGTTAGTTTTTCATCAATGATGACACCCAGAAATTTCACCTCATTGACTCTATTAATTTCAATTCCATCGACTCTAAAAAATGTAGTTAAGAAAATCTAACAGATCTTTAGAACGTGACGCCACTGTGTCCGCGGCGCGGTGGCTGATGGGATAGGATCACCATCTTTACTGTCTCGGAAAATAAAGCTTTCTCGTTGAATTTTTTTAAATCTGCGTAGGTTAAAACAATTTAGCAATGGTCCGAACTTGTTGCTTTACTGGATGTAATGTCCGGTCACAAGACAGAAAAGAAAAAGATAGAAAACGGACTTTCATTTCATTGTTTTCTCGTCTGGAAACCACGCGAGGGACCAAACAAAAAGAAGACGAATGGCTTGGATGTCAGCAGTGAGACGTCCTGATATAACCTTCTCCAGCGTCCCAAGAAACCTGCTAGTTTGTTCCAGACATTCTGGTGAGGGTCTAAATTGGGTTTGTTGGTGTTGTGCCATACATTTTTGCCATGATTTTGTCCGGGTGTACTCATGTTTAATTCATGTTTAGTTCATAGAAGTGACCTAGTTTAGGTCAGGTTTATATTTTTTTGTATGTATCATAGTCTTTTAGACAGAGTGGACATCTGAGTTATGTGAAATAAACTGCTTAAAGTTTCTAGTGTTGTCACTTTTACATTTGCATGGCAGTCCCCACATACAACAAGGAGAGCACCATGTGAAACAACCAAGACTAATCCACAGAGGAAATGCCTGTCCATGGATGCTGCGTGTTCCAGGAATCCCCTGGTGCAGGACATCTGCATGTTGACAGGTCCATGTGGACCAGGAGGAGTAACGCTGCGGTACTGCAGCTGAGCCACTGGAGGGCCAGAACACACAAAGATTCATATCAGAATGCAACAGCTCAGATTTAAACCTGAAAATGTGTAACTGGAATACAACATAATTATAACTTTAATGCATTATTATGATATGAACTATTATAACTGAACACATGAGAGTAAAAACTGTCTAACGGGAAACAGACGTATCTTCTGTGAAAGTGCATTAAGAATGCTGAGTGCTGAAAGACTTTACTGAACTTTCTCTAAGAATGACTTAACAGGATTCTTAAAGTTCAAACAAACAGAACTGAAGCTAAAATCATTAAAACCACAGCTACAAGCTAAAATCAGCTAAACTGAAAATAGCCAAAGTTTGCTGAATGATTCCTAAAAGCTAAAAGATAAAAATGTTTTTGACTTAAGCTGTTGTTTTTAGATTAAAGTTTGTTAGGCCTCAGATTATTTATTTAGAAGCTGAGGGGAGATCGGACCGATGAATGTGTTAAAACCTGAAATACTCAAACATCTGACCAGAGAAAGAACTGATTTTTTGTTTTGGACCAAGATGAAGTTTCCCTGAAGTGTTTTTTTTTTTTGTTCTTTTTTGTTCTTCTGTTAGCATGCTAAGCTACAAACACAGACAACAGATTTACAAGTTCTTGTTAAGAAGCTAAATCCATCAAGTACCTAGAAACCACAGCTAGCTAACATCGTCTGATGCTGAATGAAACAAACAAACCTGCGCTCATTTTCTCTCCAACTCGACAGTTCCTCTTCGTAATCTGAGATTATTCCTTCAAAAAGACCCAATATTTCTCCACAGCTTCCTCCAGTCTGTTGGACTCGCTCCGTGAATTCAGCGGTGTCTTCGTGCCGTTTTTCACCGGTTGTGGGCAGCGAGACTACGGCAGTGTTGCCAGATAGTCGAGGTTTTCCAGCCCAAAAATCTGTTAAAAACTGCCGCATCACAAAAAAACTGCCCAATCAATAAAGGTATTTGTGTGTGTGAGTGCATATATACCATACCACTTTACTTAAATAATAATAATAATGTCATCACAATGTCTCCATACAATGGCGAAATTAGTCTCTGCACTTAACCCATCCACCACCAGGTGGTGCAGTGGGCAGCTATTGAAAGCGCCCGGGGGACATTTTGGGGATGAGGTGTGCTGCACAAAGACGCCACGTGATGTGCAGTGACTGGGGATCGAACCTGGGGCTTTTGGGTCCCAAGCCGGCTGCCCTGCCTCTACACCATCTCGGCCAAACACCCATATATATATATATATATATAATATGTATAATATGTAACCGGGACCCTGCATACATAGCTTCGTTCCACCTCATGTACCACATGTGATGTGAATGCCAATAAAGACACCATGACCTTACAACCAGTTATGAATCTTAGTGCGCCATGGTAAGAGATAAGATAGAACTTTATTGATCTCGCAGGAAATTATTGTGCCAGAGTTTCAGTACAAAGGAACATGCATAAGAATCACAACATATAAAGACAACAGAGAATATAAAAAATGCCAACAATTAAGTTCAAAACGGGTAGACAGCATCGAACATCTGCAAGGGACTGGCAGGGCATTCATGTAAATAATGTCACCATAGTCAATGGTCAGTAGCAGTAACAAGGTGTTTTCTGCCATTCAGAGTTAAACAAGATCTATTTCTGAAAAAGAAACCCAGTTTTAATTTCTGTTTATCAAGTTTTCGATGTGGTTTAAAAGAGAGATGTGCATCAACTAAAATTCCCAAGTATTTGTATGAATCTACAAACTCAATAGGAACACCATGCATGGATAAGAGGACGAGTTGCTGGCACCGACTTTCTGTTGGAAAACAACATCCCTTTGGTTTCGTCAGCATTTAGCACCAGTTTGAGATGGAATAAGTTGGTCAAGAGCATTACATTAAAATTTAATATATACAAATTTTTTGGAGCCAGATGTTGAGACTAGAAGAACTGATTTTTTTTTAAAGTTTGTGATAAACAAGACATCGAGTACACCAAGGCAAACTTATTGTTGAAAACACCTAATATTCAGTTAAATTCAGTTTTCCTCCTGTGTAGGTTCTCATGTGTTTTAGAGCAGACTGAAGTCTAAAGGGACCTCAGAGACTGCAGAGTTGCACTTTGTTTCCTGTGGATTTTTGTGTGTTTGTTTAAGCTAGACTTGTGGGTTTCTATCCAGTGTGGACTTTCATGTGTGTGTTTAGGGATGACTTCCGACTAAATCTTTGTCCACAAAGCTCACATTCAAAGGGTTT